ATATGTCAATCCACATGGGCACTTTATTATGTAGATGACTAACGTGGAGTGGCATGTAAAAAAAAAATGTTTAATAGAATATTTCTTACTCGTCCAAGTACATACAAAAGTATCACCCCAAATTATCGTACTACATACTGTCAGTGCTTACCTTAGTTGGGAGTCTGGTATGCAGAGATATGCGCTCACCCTTGCAAATAAACACAGACCAAGGTGACCAGATAAAGAACCACCTGGCCTGTGAGTCTGTGCATGGGGGCCGTGCAGGATATTGCTCCAAATCGCAGTACAGGCAAGGACACAAGCAGGAGAATTGTCGAGGATAAGCCAAAAGTCAGAGGGTGCCAGAAGTCAGCATAAACGAGGGTAAGTGCCAAAGTTGGGCTGAGATTGATAGGAGCAGCCCCAGGTAAAATCCAGCCCCCTAGTGCTGCAGACAAGGTAGGATAGGACATCAGGCAGAAACATGAACTGAATTGTGGCTCAGAGACAAGACAGCACGAGTAAGGCAGCAAGAGTCCAGAGTTCAAATACCATTTTTGGCACCTGTGGAATGGCCACGCCTGGCCGTCTGAATGGCACGGTGCCAATCGTGACACATACACAGCAATTCCAACAGAGAAAGTTACCACATTTTGGCTTACTGAAGAAAATGTATCTGTCCACAATCTCAGCTTTAACCAGATAGTCCCTTAGGACCTACCCTTCATATAAGTCAATAGGGGCATTTCCCTAAACGCAACAACTTGGTGATTAGAGTTTCTAACTATATGCCAGTGCTTTCTCAAGATACCAGTGATATGATTACTGTGAATGCCAAAGATCAAAATAAAAGCCATTCTTTCACAATCTTTAGCCTGTCGTTCTCTAGCTTGTAACAACTCTTCCCACAAAATCTTTCTACCATGTTATGTGTCGCTACGAAGACCAGTGGGGTAACACCTATGTTAGGATTTTTGGGCAATTTCTCCTAATCTCCTGTCAACAGAGTTATCTTCAGATACTATGCCCCTTATTCTCAACAGTTGGCTCCTAGCTAATGTCTTCAAAAGGCTATTAGGGAGAGAACTACATATCTCAAAATGGAATTTCTATTCATAGATTTTGAATATAAAACTGTAAGTCATCTCATACACATGATATACACTGATAGTGTCAAAAAGTGGCAACTTGATGTAGTCAAATGTCATCGCAAATTTTATAATGTCCGAGATGGAGTTGAAGAAATTAAATAACTCCTCCAAAGGCTCGAAAGTGACCTCCCACAATGCAAATACGTAGTAAATATACATATATATATATATATATATATATATATATATACACACATATTTTTACTCAAGACAATTCTCAATAAATCCATTACAAAATTTCTTTGTTGTATGTCAACCTCAACCTTTGTTGTATGTCAACCATCGTCTCAATTACTGCCAACGTGGCCTATAGCCCTTTATCACTTCATCTACTAAAATAGATCCACTTTGTAATTGTACTTCTTTTTGTTCAAAAAGCCCATAGTGTCTGATAGGTAGGAACATATCCTCCCCAAATACTGGGATAAACATACCTGAAGCAATCGATAAGGAGTTACAAATAAAAAAAATTTTAAACTTAATTTTTAATTTTCTGAACAAAATATGCTTTATAACACTTTTGAAAGAATGATTTTTAAATGAAAGGGATCCTTAACGCTTTATTTATTCTTGAGTTCTAAAAGCTGTTGGCAAGCTGGAGTTCCAATAAGCTACCTGACAAAAACAGCATTTGTGGAAACATTATGAAATACAAATTTCAGTTAATAACATTTATAACAATGAATATTTTTTGAAATAATAAAATGTATTTATAGTTTGCAAATATGGGGAAAGGAAACAGAAAAGATGAAAGGGTATATAGAGGTCATGAAAAAGGTCCAGTACCATTGATTCCAAAGGGGAATATTTTAAAGTCTGATAAGTTATAATAAATAAAAAATAGAAATAGAAAGACTTTTATGATGAACAAAAAAGTTTGGCCAAAGTGCAGCGATGATTATGAATGGTAAAGTTTTTGGAGAGATATATAAAGGGATTTAGTGAGTTAACGCAAGTCTGTGGTGCGACTTACACAACTAAAGTCGTAGTAATGGCCATACGCTTTATAAATAAAGCTTATCCTGGAAATTATGTGGTAAAAGATCATATGAGAATTAGCGAAACGGCTAATAACTTGCTAATGTGAGTGTTGATGGCATCTTACAGACTGCCATTTGAAATTTGGCCCGTGAAAGGGAATTTCTGAGACTTTTAAGTTAAGTTAGTACAAATTTACTGACAGGGATTCCTGGAACTACATAGAAAGACGATCTGTTGTGCTGGGAAGGAGTTAAGGTGTTAACATTTGTGCTGCAGGTAAATAAACACTTTCATTTGGAATATGAGCTACAGTGAGGAAATGGGTAGTGTTTTCGGCAGTAAGGAGTAGTCAGTACACGATGTCCTATTATGTGTACACTGTAAAAAAAAAAACAATATATCCCATCTAACACACACCACACCTATTATTTCTATCTTCACACATATTTAGCCCATTTCCTTAACATACCATACTCTACGTTGTATTTATTCTATCAAGAGAAAGCCTGATTAAATCATTAGTTTATTCTGACAAACAAAGAGGTTAGTTAATTTAACAGCTCGTTTTATTGTTAGTACTTATCAGCCATCAAATCAATAGAAGTTCTAGTTAAATTGATTATTGTGTCAATCATGATTTAGAGGGACATTCTGAGCAACAAAATCAAGATACTTATTAAATAATTTGGGGGCATAGAGGCTGTCCTTCAAGCCTTGCAAATTAAAACAATCTCATTTTTGAGAAGCAGTGCTATTTACATTTTGCAATGCCCACGTCTACTAGTCGCTGTCAAACAGAGAACCACTAGAGACTTCAGACATATATAAATTGAATTATTGAATCTCTTAAAGTCAGCTGACACAATAGGCTGTGTGCATCTAATGTTTCTCTCTGAGAAGTATTGGATTCAGTGCGTCTCACAGAGAAGTGTTGGATTGGTGGATTGAGTGAGTGCCGCTCATGTGCCATTAGTTTAAAAGCATTAGTTTAAAATCTCTATGAGGTGCATCTGATTGATACTTCATCAGGATTGGATGATTAGGCAGCCAGGAGTTTATCGCTGGAATACAAGTAAGTTTAAACAATTTTTAAAAAAGCAAAGGGAGTAAAATTGAAATAGTTGGAACACATCTAATTACAAAAAACAAAAAAAAACTAATATTGTATATATAAGAATTAGGATAATATGTTTGTAGTGCATGTAACAAGTAAGCCAGTTGTAGCTTTCATTGCACAGGGTAAATTCCAGAAAAAATAGTAAGTGTGAAAATAATCAGCGCTTGAGATTGGCTCTGAAAAGACAGCAATTCAATTAATTTGCACAGATGTCCTTTGTTCTGCTTTTTTTCCTTTGCCTTTAACAAATATTCTAAAACGGGCAATTAAAATTACTCAGGATGTTCTATTAACTTTTAGACTTGTATTGAGACCTTGGATATCTAGAATACCAGTTACTGTGCAAGGCTATCAGTAATGGATTGGTCACCGTGAAGGGAGGGTAAAAACCTGCTGAGACACAGCCATTGATGTACTTTATGTCCTACGCATGCATCATGACCATTAATGTGGTTTCATTTATAGTGCTGGAAGCCTGATTGGAGTCTGAGACATATACTATAACCTTGCCCCATATATTTGAATATACAAAATCCCAATATCCCTTTGAACATGGTCTATATCCCCTGCACCCTCTTACCCCTCCCCCCAATCAAGCACCATTAAGGTATATAAAGCCAACTGTTTCGATCAGGTGACTTGATAAATGAACCGAACCTAAAACCTTGTCAAACTCCTATCAAAATTATTTATTAGATTATCATAGACTTTGATGTGTCTTCTAATATCAAAATAAGAATGTTCGGTGTTGAATAACTAGAATAAAAATACCAACCAAACTAGCATGTAATAGAAATAATTCTATTGAATACTTTGTATAAAGGCCTGATTTACAGCTTAAGTATCTGTAGAAACAGTATTCAAACAGATGTCCCTACCTCCTCTAAAAAGACTCAAAGTCAGAAGGTACATCTCTCTTTTCCTCCCTCCACTTGCAATGCAATTACCATGTAGAAAAATGTAACAAGTTATCTAAAGTGAAAAAAATGCGTATATATTTTCAGGCTAGGTGTGTCCTCTAGACAAGAGAAATACAGGGTAGATTATAAATTCTCACCCTTCTTACACAACAGACAACTACTCTTTTTCAGCTATTTTGTTATACTTACTGGATAATGGCCCGTTTCAATGGCAGATTGTATTAGACAGTTTATCTTCAGTGAAACCCATGCTTAATACCACTTTAGACCCAATAAGCAAAGCTAATGTATATCACAACTTATATGGTGGACTGTATGTTGTGTTAAAATGAACCTGTTTTTAATAAAATAATTTACCCGAAATAGCTCCCACATACATTGAGTATACCATATATCACAGATACTTGGTTTATTCAATGTAAAATATATTGATTTATTCCCCATTCCTCCATTCCAATGCTGCTTTATGGTTGTTACTTTCCATGCAACACCCACCTCCAGGCCGTCCTTCGCTTCTTCTTGCAGTATTCTTTGATTTGCCCTGTTTGGGATGCACCCAAGCAGGGCAAATGTTGTTAGTGACATCAGCACGCTTTGTTGCCAGTGTGCAGGCATTGGAATGGACTGACCTCATGCCATTCCGTGACTATACACCCTAGCCGGCGCTAGAAATGCTGGCTAGGGAGTTTTTCATAGCAAACACAGCATATGCGCTGTGGTTGCTATGGGTGGAGAGTAGAGATGTCGCAAACCGTCCGCGAACTTCTCGCGAACGGTTCGCCGCGGTTCGCCACGAGCTGTTCGCGGCGAACTCCGGTCAGCTGACACGTCCCGGCCAATCTCCAGCAGACCCTCCCTCCCAGACCCTCCTACTTCCTGGACAGCATTTCAACATGGATGCTGTCCAGGAAGTAGGAGGGTCTGGGAGGGAGGGTCTGCTGGAGATTGGCCGGGACGTGCCAGCTGACCGGAGTTTGCCGCGAACAGCTCGTGGCGAACCGTGGCGAACCGTTCGCGTGAAGTTCGCGGACAGTTCGCGACATCTCTAGTGGAGAGTAGAGGGTCCTCCTGTGGGAGGTCTTTTTGCTTTCCCTTGTCAGACAATACCTCGGCATGCCAAGGCATTGACTGATAGCTGGGAGAAAAACCTATTTTTAAATAGGTTTTTCTCCTAATTTATACATTTTCTAGAAAAGCCGCTAGCACAATATACAGATATCATTTTATGCTCATTCTAATGAGCATGAATTGTTTGGGGTAACTCAAAAAATCAGAAATAATCTTTAGAGCACTGATTTTGGTTAGGATAACCAATGCTGTGCTTGTCCCCTCTGATCAAAGTTTATAAAATCTAAAATAAAACATAAATTTACCTTTATTTCAGCGCCCGGGCCGCGTTCTTCCCTCAGCCTCACCATTCTCTGCCTCACCATTCTCATCATTCTCTGGACAAGCTGAGAGAGGACATTGGCAACACAACTGTGCATGCAGATGACAGATGCCAAAATGTTCTCAGAACTCACACTAGCCAGCCCAGAACAAATGTTCCGAACCAACTAATTCCACCCCAATGATGCTGCCTAAGGTGGAGTTACACTTCTGACAGCAGAGGGGCTAAACTCTGTATGTGCAGCAATTCACAGAGAAATTCTGCACATATAGACTCCAGGAACCAACAACACGTAAAAACACTGATGTGGTGTTTTGGAGTAACACTTTAAACAGAAGCAGAATAAGTTGTGAGATATGTGTTTATTCACACTTGCCATGTTGCGAGAAATTTTTTTTGATTGTGGATAAGTCTTTTGAAAAGTTGACTCTAAATCATGTTCACGTTAAAACTTGTTAAATTTACTTTAGGGAAAAAGTTCAATCACTTACTTAAAAGGGAAATTAAACCCCAAAAAACTACTTTAACATAATTATCTGTACATAATATGTAGTGTCTGCTGCCACAAGCATTTTTGATGTTCGGAAAAGCTTCTGATATAAATTACTACATTCAGTAAAATATGATTGCTTGAAGCAACTATCTTGATCTTCTAATGGACTAACACCGATCAGGTTGGGCACTGACATCATATGTTAGAAATATGAAAGTATTTTTTTCAACATAATATTGATTATATTTAATAAAGATATATGTGTTTTCACTGGAGAAGTCTCATTTTCACATATTACCTTCTGAGCATTGTTAGTGAGCAGTTCTGTACATTTTATATTCCTTTGGTACTAGATCAAATATACAGAGGATACATAACAGTGCAGCATGTACTACGGGAACATAATACCATTGAAACCTCCTAAAGACATAATAAATCACACGAGTGAAGGCCAAGTGATTTGTGAATGTCTCCAAAATACTTAAATTGAATTCCATTCCCTTTAGTGTTATGTATATTTTATATACCTAATATGATTTTTTTTTTTTTAAAGAGATTTTTTTTAATTGAAGGTTAGGACTGGGATTAAAGCTAAACTGGACGAATTAATGTCTGTCTGACATTTGGATAGTAGCTGTGTTTGTAGCTACTGTTTTTAATGCAGTCCTTCATTGATTAGAGAGAGAATCACACTTTCTCTGTCTCCCCAGCTCTCCCACTATATCTGTTTTGGGAGTGGAAACGAACTTATAGCAGAAGCTGCAAACAGCAGAGTATTCTCAGGAGTACAACTCTCATTAACCTTGAGCAGGGCAGGACATGCAAGTTCAGATGCAGTGCTGGAATTAGGAGCCCTACACTGACAGTGCTATTTACAGCATGCATTATGGCTTTCAATGCTCAGTGTTACATAACCCCCCAAACATTAATGTCCCATGAAGCCGGACACTGATAGGCGGAATAAGAAGGGGGCAGGCCAATGAAGTGAACTGCGTCACTGGCACCGCACAAAGGGGGCGGATCTGTCCAGGAAGGGTTTGGGCCTGGCAGCCCCATCCAGGGTATAGAGTAGGGTTGCCCACCAAGACCATGCATGGAGTACTGTTTCAGTGCTCTGCAGAGTCCCAGTCCTCTGAGCATAGTACAAGCACATCTAATGAGGCACTTGTACTATGCTTTTTGGAGACATTTCCCTGGTGTCCCTAAAAGCAGGAAACCAGGGACCAAAGTCAGGACAGTGGGACAGGACCATGACAATTGGGACTGTCCAGCCAAAATCCACTGCAATAAAACCCATAGTTATAGGCAGTGTGCATGCATGCATTAATACAGTTCCATTGCAATAAAGCCTACAGCACTATGAAGTGTGTATGCATGCAGTCCACAGCAATCAAACCCACAGTAATGGGCAGTAACAGAGCTCCATGCATTAACGGAGCTTCAAGGCAATAAATCCCACAGTAATGTGCAGTAAAATAGCTTCATGTATTAACAGAGTTCCACGGCAATAAATCCCACAGTAATGGGCATTAACAGAGCTCCATGCATTAACGGAGCTCCATGGCAATAAATCCCACAGTAACGTGCAGTAACAGAGCTGCATGCATTAACGGAGCTCCACGGCAATAAATCCCACAGTAATGTACAATAACAGAGCTCCATGATTTAACGGAGCTCCATGGCGTTAAATCCCACAGTAATGTGCAGTAAAATAGCTTCATGCATTAACAAAGCTCGACAGCAATAAATCCCACAGTAATGGGCAGTAACAAAGCTCCATGCATTAACGGAGCACCATGGCAATAAATCCCACAGTAATGTGCAGTAATAGAGCTCCATGCATTAACGGAGCTCCATGGCAATAAATCCCACAGTAATGTGCAGTAAATTAGCTTCATGCATTAACAGAGCTCCAAAGCAATAAAATCCACAGTAAGGTGCAGTAACAGAGCTTCATGCATTAACAGAGCTCAACGGCAAGAAAGCCTACAGTACTGTGAAGTGTGTATGCATGCAGTATTAGAGGTCCACAGCAATCAAATCCACGGCAATGTGCAGTAACAGAACTCCATGCATTAACGGAGCTCCATGGCAATAAATCCCACAGTAATGTGCAGTAAAATAGCTTCATGTATTAACAGAGCTCCACAGCAATAAATCCCACAGTAATGTGCAGTAACAGAGCTGCATGCATTTATGGAGCTCCACGGCAATAAATCCCACAGTAATGTACAATAACAGAGCTCCATGATTTAACGGAGCTCCATGGCGTTAAATCCCACAGTAATGTGCAGTAAAATAGCTTCATGCATTAACAAAGCTTGACAGCAATAAATCCCACAGTAATGGGCAGTAATAGAGCTCCATGCATTAACGGAGCTCCATGGCAATAAATCCCACAGTAATGTGCAGTAATAGAGCTCCATGCATTAACGAAGCTCTATGGCAATAAATCCCACAGTAATGTGCAGTAAAATAGCTTCTTGCATTAATGGAGCTCCATGGCAATAAATCCCACTGTAATGTACAGTAACAGAGTTTCATGCATTAACAGAGCTCCATGGCAATAAAGCCTGCAGTACTGTGTATGCATGCAGTATCAGAGGTCCACAGCAATCAAATCCACAGCAATATGCAGTAACAGAGCTCCATGCATTAACGGAGCTCCATGGCAATAATTCCCACATTAATGTACAGTAACAGAGCTTCATGCATTAACAGAGCTCCATGGCAATAAAACCCACAGTAATGTGCAGTGTGTATGTATGCTTTAACAGAGCTCTACAGCAATAAATATTAATGTCTATTGTGAATGTGTAGCTAATTGACTCCAACAGAAATAATCCTAACAGGAATGAGTATAAATATTTAATCACAGAGCTTCACTAAAATAAAACAATAAAAATAATAATAAAAGTGGGCGAGTATAGTATTCAGCAGATACTTCTAAACTGCAATTCCAATCCTGATCTTGGCAAAAGGTAGTTCAGAAACCAAGCATTTAAAGAGCTTGAATTAGCTTTCATTCTCCTTAGGGGAGGATTGAGGGAGGGTAGGGGGTCTGAAGTGGCAGTGTGACTGGGTTGAGGTAAATTTTGGAACATCGCTGAGACACTGGAACATACGTTTTATGAAAAACAGTTTGCCAAAAAAACAGACAGGGTAATTTACCAAAAAGACAATCTCAAGTCAGTGCCATCTTAACAACATTATGGGCCCCCGGGCACTGGTGCCCTGCCTACACAACCAGTCACAGGAGTGAAAATGTAAATTATCGATAAAATTAAGCTTATATTTATTGGTACCTCCAACAAATGCAATACATTAATACAATACAAACACACAGACTGCTGACTACACACACACAGAATGCAGAATACACAAAGGCTGCTGAATACATACACACAGACTGCTGAATACACACATGGACTGCTGAATACACACAGACTGCTGAATTCACACACAGACTGCTTAATATACACACTCAGACTGCTGAATACTTACACTCAGATTGCTGAATACATGCATGCAGACTGCTGAATACATGCATGCAAACTACTGAAATCATGTACACAGACTGCTGAATACATACACAGACTGTTGAATATACACAGACAGAATTCAGAATTCACACAGGCTGCTGTATACACACAGGCTGCTGAATACATACACAGAGAATACTGGATACATACAAACTGGCTACTGAATACACACACAGACTGCTGAATACACACACAGACTGCTTAACGCATAAACAGACTGCTTAATACACACACACACACAGAATGAATACATGCAGACTGCTAAATACATACACACAGAGTGCTGAATACATACACATACTGCTGAACACACACACACACACTCACACAGGCTGCTAAACACACACACAAATGGCTGAATACACACAGACAGACAGCAGTGAGAGGTGCAGTATGTGTGAGGAGTGCTGTGTGTGGGGTGTCCTGTGTGTGGGGTGTCCTGTGTGTGGGGTGTCCTGTGTGTGTGAAGGGTGGTGTGTAAGTGGACTGATGTGTGTGTGTGAGGGGTGC